CGATAGTGGGGGCGTTGGCAATGTTCCTGATATACTTCGTTAAAGACGATGAAAGTTCAGATGATCCATCTCCAGAAAATCCTTCGAGTAAAACGAATTGCCAGAATGGTTGGTAAAACAGGTATTTATATATCATCAACTCTAATCATTTTAATATGCTGTGTATATATTTTATGCTATAATTGTAATCATCAGAAGAAGAAGATTTATTGCATTTGTATGATCGTTAGATTATTGTTTTTGATTGGAGAAGGTTTTGTTTTAGAATATGATATTTTTCATTATACATTATATCATTATACATTTTTCATTATATCATTATACATGATATTTTTCTTACAAGATAATATTATCAAGTTTATTTCGTCCAATCGTGTGTACTAACAATTAGCTGAGAATATGTTTCTTTCGCCGTAGGCTTCTTATATTTAATTTTACATTCTATATTGAATTTCCTTTGCAATTATTAAATTTGTAGGGAAGATGAGGAATAATGGTTCCTTACCGGTGTTCGTTATAGAGCAGAAATGTGAATCGGCAGTGCAAGATAAGTATAGAAAGATGTACAAAAATCTGCAACCGTCTCATCAGCACTATCGCGTCAAGAAACAGGCTGCATTGCGAACATGTTTGACGTATGATAACTGTAAACATGAGTACGGCGATCATTATATGTATTCAGAGAGCGTACCTTTGCTTCACAAAGAAAAAGACCCACGATGTTCGATAGGTTTTTTCGGACGATCATTGACGCTTCTCACATTCTGAGTTCGCATCTTGATATCGCAAGTTCTTCCGCTGCGAAATTTCATTATTCATTATCTATCTCTTAAATGAAATTGAACATGCAATTTTTTGAGAGAAATATTTCTTTTTATACCATCATATTTTTTTATATAAAATGAGAAACAGTATATATATACACAACAGTATATATATACGTGTAAACGTTATGTGTAATGTATGTATATGTATGAGGAATACATTAATTTTTACTTGATATATACATAATGATTTATTTTTTATTATAGCGATTAATATTTTAATAATTAATATTAAGCGATATCGATTTTTTTATTAATCTCGCTCTCTGAGAGATGTCAATTACTGTTATCGTAGCATATTCCGAAATATGTATCTAGTTTTGGAGAAACGTACTTATCAAAATGATCAATTTAATCAATTCATACAAGTCAAAACAGTGAAACATTGAACGTTAAAGAAAATGCAGAAATATATATTATATACGATTTAAATAATATATTTATTAAAACCGTATATCATCTCTCTTTGGTTAAAAGAAAGCTATTTTATAAAAGTGCATACACAATAATTACAATTATCTCAATTAGAATGTGCCTAGTAAAAATAAAAAAATGCGATTATAGCAAAACGAAGGATTTTACTACTTACAAAAAAGTAGTGGGTATATACTAGTGATACTATTCAATATTTAACTTTATGTAGAATTAACAAAAAATGAATAAAATTCTCGACAGGAAAAAATAAAGATATTATATAAATTACACATAAATTTTGCGGTGAGTGGGGGGCAATAGGTGTGAGCCACGGAATCGGGCCGAAATGTGCAAGTAAATCCCAGCACTGGTCCAAATCATAATCATGGGCACGTGAGTGTAACATGTTTATAGCAAGTGTCAATATCGGTTTAATGATAAAATTCCTTCACAGATTACAGTTTGTATAATAATGCTAATAGTACTAAATTGTTTAATTATATATGGATAGACATTAGGTAGTCCCAATGTTTCAAAATGTTAAAATAGTAATATCTTCGTAATATTGCAGGGTATATATTATAAATATTGTAGTCAGCATAAATTTGATAGTATAAATTATAAATTTCTATATAAGCATGATTAATAATGCACAATTTTTTATGTTGAGAGATACAGTGATACAACGCTTTCCTTACGTGTGCATTATTAATTAAAATTTAATTCCAAATTACATTTTTAACATGTACAAGATTAAATAGTTTTAAACAATTATAATTTGATTAATACCAATATGTCTTTTTTCAACCAAAAAGCATTTATTTTTTATCTTTAATATATTAATTATGCAAATTTTGTCAATTGTATTATAGGTATAATTGATAATAATATTATTGCCGATTGTTATTTAACAATTTTCAGAATATAATGATGTCAAAGCATGTAATCGTAATAAATACGTTTTAATAACTTTCAATAAAATATATTTTGTTATAAAACCAATTTTTTGTTTTAATTATCGATAAGACAATTGTACACAAATAAATGATGAGCTATGTCACACACAATATAAAATGATCAATATTTCATAAATAAATATATATGAAATATGAAAATACCATATAAAAATATATATATATATCAACAATCACAATTCTTAAACTTTTAATTAATCTCTTACTTAAATTGATTACATTTTCTTGATACTTTGTTAAATCTTTAATTTAAGCTTTTATGCAACGACTTTAAAGTATGTAAAGGAATAGTTTTTTTACAGTATTTCTAAGCACGAGACAATCATGTGCAGATTTTGGCATATTCAATTTTTTTTTATTATAAAAGGCTATAAAAGAAAGACCTAATAAATGGGACGCACCCATAAATATTACATGATGAAATGAAATGTGAGATCTGGCCATCTAGGAACACTGCTTATCAATGCTCAATGCTCAATAGTTTGACGTATCGCCGGAATGTCACAGCTGATGTATCATTCATTGCAAATAGCCGAAAATATCCTTTAAGAAACCAATTATTGTATCGCCATCATGCCTGTAAGTTTATGTAGTAAATTTTACGTTAATATAAACGAGCATTGTTTCAAAGTAAATAAAATTGCGAGGTCGTTACCCGAGTAACATAACCGTAATGCACTAAGAGAAGTTATTTACGTCTCCCTAATTTAAATTTTTGCTTTAATTTCTATCTACATTATGAATATTTATATTAAATATTTTGAAAATTATCATGTTCAAATTTTATAAAGTACATTTGATGATAAACAATATATATGCAGAGACTAATTACTGTAATGAAAGTATGTTATATACTTTATCGGTAATGAATTAGTCATATTCTCTCTCTCTCTCTCTCTTTTTTTCTAACACATAATTATAATTTAAAACTTTTTATTTACGTATTATTCAAATCTTAGGCGTATCATTCAAGCTTTACAAAAAGCCATGGCACAATCGGAAACATGGCATTGTTACCAATCAAGACCACATTCAGAGGTCCTGCACCTCCTTTTAACAACAAAGAACAGGATATAATCGATGAGGCATTATATTTCTTTAAAGCAAATGTATTCTTCAGGACATATGAAATTAAGGTAATACTTCATATTGTGAAATAATACAATTAAAAAATATAGTTCTGTATAAGTAAAACTATGTTTTTTTTGTAGAGCGAGGCTGACAGAGTTTTAATCTATATTACTCTATTTATTACTGAATGCTTAAAGAAGTTACAAAAATGTGCGACGCAACCGCAAGCTATGAATGAAATGTTTTCTCTTGCCATCTCCAAATTTGATATTCCTGGTGATTCTGGTTTTCCCTTGAATTCTGTATATGCCAAACCGAGTAATCCTGCTGAGGCTGGCAAGTATCAATGAAACATTGTTAATTCAAGAATAACAACACTTTTCATATTTTTAATTAATGAAATATTATTTGTAATTTTATAGATCTTATGAGACAGTATCTTTATCAGATCAGACAAGAAACAGCTCTTAGGATTGTTGAAAAAGTATATGGTGAGGATGGAAAGCCAAGTAAATGGTGGCTCTGCTTTGCGAAAAAGAAGTTCATGGATAAATCATTATCTGGACCTGGACAATGAATTGTTTATGTTTTGAAAAATGCGCGCATATGATTAAGAAATAAAGGAATCTATTAGAAAAATTTTTCACACACTAGCTTCTGTTATTACTTTTATATCAAATCTACAATCTTTCTATTAAAATATTACAAAACTGAATATATTGAAATATTTTAGCCATAATTAAACCAAAAAGAAAGGATAAAAAAATGGGAATTAATGATACTTATACACAAAATACAATCTTAAAGAAAAAGATATTTATTTTTTTTACAGGATACGCCACAATATTGATATGACGTAATGTATAACAATAAAATGATGTATCTTGCATTGCGTGAAAGTTACAAATGACATAATTATCGCTTTCTGCGAAGAGATAGCGTATTTCTTCGCTTCCAAGCGGCACGGCGCGAACCACCGATCGTTTGTGAATAACGGTGTCCTTTGCCTAATCCGCGCGAGCTTCTACCAGCGGAGGTCTTACCACGAAGTTCACGGTGCTTGTGCACCGCGTTGCATACCCAATTCACTTTAGGATCGTTACGGATTGCCTGAAATAAGAGCAAGAAAAGATGTTAATTTGCAATAAACAAATTCCTAAGATAGTTCTCGAAATTTATCTCATGTATTCAGACATCCAAGGAAGATAAAAAATCATGATTATTCATTCGTGATATAAGATCATCATATGTGAATTAAAAACGAGAACTATTGATATAAGTATATTAAAAATAAAAAAGTAAAGGACATCAGTTAATAACCATAATAAAATGGTAAATAGATATTTTAAGAATAATAACATTATATAGTCAATTTTGAATATTACCTTGTGAGCAGGATCGATCAGAATTACTTCATAATATTTGTATGAAGAGTCTTGGGCCACCCAGTAGCTGTTTAGCACTCGCAATCCACCGCAACGGCGACCGACGCGTTCCTGTAAAATAATATTTAATAAGAAATGCTAATAGAAAAAAAAGATAATCTTCAGATAAATGCCAATTTCAGACATCCAAGGAAAAAAAGAATCAGTATTCATTGTAAAAAAGTTCTATCATCATTTCTAGAAATATAATTTGTTCAGTTGATTACTAATAGAATTTCAGAAATTTTTTGGTGACGGAAATGTCTATAACTAGAGAAATCTCCTTATTTAAACATAAGAATAGTGCAGAGTACAGTTCATTATATACTTTAATGTATATTTAAGATTTTTTAAATTTTAATTGTAACTTTATATATGTATATTTGAATAACCTACTTCAGCAACTGACTGCAATTTTCTGGTGGGTTTCAACTGATTGACACCATGGCTCTTGGGCTTGCCATAAGTCGCACCTTTAGGAACTGGACGCTTGCGCCCACCTCGGCGTACACGAATTCTGAAGATAACAAAACCTATCGCAGAAATAAAGTATTGTGTTTATCTCGCATTCTTTATCATATCCATATTATAACTTTAATTGATCAAATATGTCAGTAAGTGGTATGGTATTTGTTCTCTTCATGAAACTATAAGAGTGGTGCATGAACCAAATCATCATTTATCTCTTATCATATAAAATAGCATATTTTATTCTCTCTCTCTCTCTAACTTTATATTAATACAAAGACACAAGTACAAAGGCAGTTCAGTATAATTATTTAGTTATAAGACTGAGTTGAATATAAAAATTTACCAACAGTCATGGAGCCATTCCTCACAAGATAGGAAATGTGTAGTATAAAATGTCCAAATCTAAAAAAAAGAAACAATTCGGCAAGTTTGCGTGATATCTCCATGAATGCCATAGATCACAAGAGGGGTAAATCGATACCGAAAATAAAATCTTTTCATTTTATATATATCTGGAAAGCAGATATTGTTATAAACATATTAATTATTATACATAACATATTATTATACTGACTGCCTTTTGTAAGAAAAATTCCAATTAGTCCAAACAATCAAATTAAATATTTTTATATAAGTCTACAATATAATCCCATTTGATAAATGATTTACCTTGCTTGGCTTTGTAACCCAAACGACGAGCCTTATCAGGTCTGGATGGTCTGGGGGCACGATGTAGCTTGGTCAATTGACGGTATTGCCAGCATCTGATACGCAGCAAGAAACGAAGCACATCGCTCTGCTTCTTGCGGTACAATTCTTGCATATACTTGTACGCCCCCATAATTGATCTCTACGCAGAGGTGATCGACAGACCGTTAAATAGTGCACCATCCATGATTCGGATGCCATGATGCTAGCGCAACTATTTCTTTCTATACACATAATTCGTTTCAATAAAAGCATATGCGTCTAAATTATTATTCGCGTGAGAAACGCCTTCGAAATATTCGAGAGTTACACGAAAGTAACGAATACAAGTCCGATCAGTTTGATCCGCGAGGTTAGCGTTTTTGTTAAAACCGATATAAATGCTCGATACAAAAATATACGGAAAATATGCGAATATTTCTAATTATGAAAAATTCAGCGATCAGATTCCTCGTGTCTCGATTCTTGTAAAATTCAGGATGTTTACGATTAAATACGATTTTCAGTGGACATCACTCACCCCACACGGATCGTAGTGGAAGGAAACAGAAAGAAAGAATCCGGTGCTCTCTGATGGAGCCACTTTCGTGTGATGGAAAACGGCCACCATGGCGCTTTCATCACATGCGATTTCGGAGACCTCTGAAACACGTGGCAAGAATCACGCGCGTAAACATCCGTCGATAACTCCGAAACAAACTTTGGCGCGGGACGTAAATATACCACATGGTATACACGATTTATAATTATTCGTATAGAGAATTACACGTGGAACCGTGTATCGATATTCAAAATCTGGGTCAAGTTCAAATTTACGTCGAAATGTAAAACCACATCGTTCCCTCCCATGATTTACTCCGATCCAACAAAATGTTTTAAAAGCAGCGTATGTAACAATCTTTTTTCTCAAATGTACCTATCTCAAATACTTTTACACAAATTACTTTTCAAACATAATCGCGTTAAACGTGCATAATCCTTTTAGCTTTTCTTTTCTCCTTTTCTCCAATTATCCTGCTTAGTTTCCAAATAGTAATCCTGTGATTTATTTCCAAGTTCTTGTTTTTTTTTTGTTATTTTTCCTGCCACTCTTATTTATATCTAATAATAAAAGGGAATAATATTCGTTAGTATCTCTTTTATCGTATATCATAATAAAATGCCACTTTAGCTTCAAGAATTTTTGATTATCTTAACATTGACTGATTATAGAAGATTATACGCGTGAGAACATCTTTATGTCTAGATTATTATTTGCAAATAAAATATCAGAATGTCTTTGAAATATATTTAAATAACAGAGTTTATTCAAAAATAATTCCATTTATATTATTTTCATCTGTTTTTTTTTAGATTTCGCTAGAAAATTTGGTGTTTATTTTAAAGCAAAAGTTTTGTTTTCCAAATAGTTTTTTTCTTTCAATTCCAGAGAATTATTTACAGTGTATACCATGCATTTGTTGAATTTTTCTGATGACTGGTTAACTTTTCTATCTTATTTTATATATATATATATATATGCTAGTTTTGTATTTAAAATAAGAGCATATATTCGATTCCAATCATTGAAACAGATACAGGGTAGAAAAGGAAAAGCAGCAAAAATATAAACACGGTTCAAAGAGACACGTATCCATCGTCACACCTGCATACCGAAGAGATTCCGGCGGCGAAACGGCGCGGACGCAATATCGAGCGACCTGGTGACCTCTCCGGCCAGTGGAATTGATTATTTTCAGGAGAGTGAGTTGCCCTGTATAAAATATATACATAACGTCGACCAGCTAGAGGTATGACGCTGGTCAGGTAGTCCGTCATGGAGAGCCGCTCGGGCAGCATAAAGGAACCCATCTACTACCCGGAGAATGACGGCACGTCAAGCGGTGGCGGAGGTGGCGGCGAATCTGCCGATAAGAGTCAACGTAGCTCGCTCGGCAGCCAGGATATAAGTCTGGATGATAGCAATGCGCTCAAAGTACCACGAAAATTCATCACCAACTGGCGACAGGCGTGCGATCGAACTCGCGACCGGACCAAGGACCTGCTGAAGAGATGGCGAACTACCAGCAGCAACATCGACGAGCTCGCTATCGCGCCCACCGCCATCCCCAATCTCGAACAGCCCAGCTGGAGCGTACACGTGTGGAGTGAGTATATTCAAATGATCTCTGCTTTAGCTAAACTTTTCCCTCGATTAATTTGAATTATTGTGTAAAAAGAGTGCCCTTTTTAATGCCTGCGAATTTATGTGCGGTTGATTTTTTAAAGTAACATAACAATTATAAAATTGTAACTCATTTTGACAGATGGTTTTTAAATAAATTTTGTTCGAATTAAATTCTTTGTATATTTGGGTCTTATATTTGGGTCTTATATATGGGATCGCGAAAAAGTTGATACTTATTAAAAGAAAAAAGTTGAAGGATCCCTACTTTATTTTATAATATTAATTTACTATCAGTGACAATAAATAATAAGCTATAATTATTATTTAATTATTGTAAATAATAAATGACAATCAATATTAATTTTTTTTCCATTATTCTGCGACAATGAAAATATTGATGATCTAAATTAAAGCTGCATGATTAATTATTGTGATTTGATAGCGACCTGGGTAAGCCGCTTTCCGAGTGATAATAGTTTATCCGCCATTAATGAGCTCGGTAAAATCGGAGGTTCAGAATCCTTAGCACCCATACAGCGTGATAAGTTCTCTCATTTTTTTACGTATCTCTTGGACCACGATAGAGACGGTTACATCAGCAGAAAGGATTTCTCGCTACTCTCGGAGGTAGAACTTAAAAATTCAATTCTCTTGTATTATTTTAAAATTTATAGAAATAATGTAAAATTTTTAGTTATTTTGTCATAACTTTTTGTATTAAACAATGCACGAAAAGTGACATATATTAAAATATATCGCTGATTTATAATTACATTATAACAATTATATATATATTTATCAATAAATTTGAAAAACATTAAGACAATTTAGAATTTGAAATAAGTAAATAACATTTTTTCTTGGAATTGAAAAAGCGTTTGAGAAGATTTGCGGATTGGTCATGGAACGGTCCGGAATATTTGAGGCTGCTGGAGATCGAGAACGGATTCGCCGGATTGATCCTTCAAGATAAGAACAGGAAGTTGGCGAACGTTGAATCCGCAGAGCCGGATAAAAAAGTCGACCTGGACGATTGGTTGTCCTGGTGGGCAAATATCGTCGCACCGCTGGACGGTGCAAGCTACAACGATATGCCGTTTTGGATTAAAGTTATGCCCAGGGTGTTCTTTCTCGCCATAAACAGCTCCGGTAGCGGAATGATCAGCAAGAAGGAACTCGCGGCCTTTTATGGATCCGTAGTCGGCCTGGACACCGACAGGATAAACAAGTGTTTGGATATCGCGTACAATTCCATGACCTCGGTAAGTTGATGCGATTCGTAACAAAAAGAAATGCGAGCAACTCTACGAGCAATTTTTGATTAAATTCGCACTTTTGAGACTAAACTATTTCTTGAAATTTAATATAAAAATAAGACATTTGTTAAAAGAATGGAGATCATCCCCTCGGCTGGGTGCAGTATCAGCTAGTGTTCGCCAACTTCCTGTTCGGTCGCGGCCCGTTCGGTCCGGGAGAGCATTTCCTGGGCATGACGGATTCCTGCATGATACGCGATAATACTGTACCGTTTCCCATCGATTATTCCGCGATGAATACCCCGCGGGATAAATTAGAGGTATACAGTCCCCATTGTAAGAGCAACAGGCGAAGCGTCGTAGTTTAACAGTAAAATTATGTAAGAAAGTTCCTTCTAGTTATTGACGTAACGTGCACAATTATTCCTCGAGAGTGCCTAATATTCTATATTCTGTATCGTAATTATTAATATAAATTTATTTTAATCAATTTGCAGAAACATTGCGATAAGACGATCAAAGAGAATTAAATAAATAATATCTTGCACGATTATGACGGCGTGTGTATACAAAAAAAAATATATCAACTTTCTATTAAAAATATAATTAATGGTATCACATTCTAATATATCATGACACTGCCATTTATTTTATGAGAGCAATATGAGTATCTCATGTCAAACGCATGTATATTTATTTTAAAGTATGTAGAACATAAAAAAAGTTTCATTCCCCATCTCCATTTCCTCAAAAAATATATATTTGATTAGAGTTAATATA